GTTGCTCTTTATCAACGATGGCGGAGTTTTCCTCAATGAATGACATTAACTCTGATACATTCTTTAACTTAAAGATATACAACGAACTAGAATTCAACCTAATGATTGGTGCTAGGACACGATATTTTTGAACGCTTAAGCAAAAACTAATGGCGTCGTGTCTGCCTCTCGTTGCCAGTCCATGTAATAACTTGCTGTATCTAACAAATTTAGGGTCGTCTGCAAAATCATCAACAATGATTAAAATTGAATGAAGTTTCTTCATCTTCTGTTCTTTCATATAATGAATTATCTTTCTTTGAGTGTTAATTATTTCTTCCAGTTCTTCAGGTTGGTAGGTGTCATAATATAACTTTTCTTTTTCATCATCAACCTTCATATTATCTTTTTGATATTTCTTGACTTCAACGAAGGTAGGGTCATTATGAACAGACGGACTAAAAATGAATATACGAGCGAAGCAGTCCCTATAAACATTTAGGATAAGGTTTTGGATTAAAACTGTTTTGCCACCCGTTGATGAAGCAACAACAATTGAGCGAAAAGGTAGTTTTGGCACATGTTCATATTTGGATTGTTTGAATTCATAATCAGTTATGTTTATTGGTTTTATAATGGGAACTTCAGGCATAAAATAATAATATTAAAAATATTTAGAAAATAAATTAATATTATTTATTGTATGAAAGCATTGCTATGATATGAATGGTGTCTATCGTAGTAGAACAGGCTCTTTCATCAACTTCAGTCAATAAGTATTGAAGATAATTAGTTTTGTGTCTTGCTCGCGTATGCAATGAAAACCCCAAGTGCTGTGCCCCACCAATATTCTATTATGCATGAAAATAATAAGATTAAAAAACTATTTTATCTTATTATTTATATGACTATTATCCATTGCAGTTGTGGTAAAACTTATGATGACAAATATTTATTTAAACATCTAAATTCAATATATCATCAGAAATTTGTAGAATATAGATGGAATAAAGACGATACAATGAAAAAACTTTACAAGAAAAGAAAGACAGAAATGAAAAATAATTTATCTTATTATTTAATATGAAAAGGAGTTATACAGATTATATTAATATAATAAATGAAATGGAGAATATAGAACGGGTTGTCATAACTGATAATAGATGTAAAAAAATATGTTATTTTATTTTAGAATTAATTAAGTTTTTGATACAATATATTAAAAATATAAATATTAATATAAATGTCAAAAAAGAAAAACAAAAATAATAAGACAGGTTTAAGTGTTTCATCAACTGATGAAGAAATTGTTAAAGAAGCATCAGTCACTGAGTTTGCTTGTCCTATGTGTAAAAAGATGTTAGAACTTAGAAATGAATTAGAAATAAAAAATAAGGGTAATTGCAAATGCAGTTGTGTACCAATAGGGTTCAAAATATCTAAAAATGATAAGAAAATGAACATTGATAAAACTAAAGACGGCATCAACTTAGAAACAGATGCTCATAATATTTGCATCAAATTTGGAAATGAAGCTACAACGTCAGATAATGTTGATAACGAAACACAGGAAACTATTAAACAAATGATGAAAAATTAGTATTTAAAGACTAGAATTAACATAATTTAAACATTTAGTTTTAAAAGTAAAGTTGAATAATATAGTATATGGTTGAATTTTCAAGTTTAACACATTTACATTTTGGAGCACTTGAATTAGACAAGCAAATTGGAGACAATAATTATAATGGTGTTAGTTATTATACTTGTAAGTGTGGATGTAAAATAGTCTTAACTCGTACTCAAACTAAAAAATATAACTGTTTATTACTTAGTGTTGGTCTTAGCTATGAATATTTATATCTGGACAAAGCGTTAGTATGTGGACATACTCAAAAAGATTTAGATAACATTGTTAGAGTTATGGTAGAAGGCGAAGAATTTAAACATTTAAGAAACAGAGACCTTCGAAATTAAAATATTTAGTTTTAAAACTTTAGTTTTATAATATAGTATATATGGAAGGTGTGGATAAACTATTTTTGAAAATTGATGAAATAATGGAACAAAATAAACGCATTTATCAACTGTTAGAAAGTATGAAGAAACCAGCTTACAATAATACTAATAATTACCAACCAAAAGAAGTTGATAGAGAGAGCACTGAATACAAGAATAAACGAAATGTATATATTAAAAAACTTAATGAAAAAGTTATTAAAGAACCTAAACAATCAAGTCTGGATTTCTACCAAGTCAAGTATATTGAAGATACCAAGAAATATGTTTAATCATTAACTAACAAAATTTCGTGTCTCAGAAGTGGTTTGTTTATTCCTGCTACTCTGTAAGTTTTATTGCCCATAATATCATATTCAATTTTATCAACATTGAATATCTTATTAGACCATTTAGAGTTATACTCTTTTCTGTCGGTGTAATTGCCCCTTTTCTTTTGAAACACTTTTATCTTATCGTTCTCCTGTATTCTGGGATACTTTCTTTTGTTCTTTTCTCGTAGTTTCAGATTGACCTTTACATTTATTTCATTGTCGTCCTTGTGTGCTTCGGTTGGTGTCATCCTTGTTGACGAGTGTAATGTGCTGTTATACTGTTTCAATGCTGGTGTTAAGGCATCGGTCCATTTCATATTATTAAACCTAACTCTATCGTGAATTTTGTTTTTCATCGTCCTAATAAAACGTTCGGCTACATTTGCGTGTGTCTTTGTTATTATGTGTTTGATACCTTCGCTGTTGAAGAAATCCTGAACTTGGTTTTTGGTTGCAAATGCTCCATCATCATCAGAATACACAGACATCGGATAACCCATCTTTTTAAAACTTGCTCTTAGTGCTTTTAGAACGTGCTCTCCGTCTCTTTCCTCCATCGGAATTGCATCTGCTAATTTACTGAAGATGTCAATCACGACTAAAGCATACTGTGGAACGTTCTTGTCTTTAGCTAAAGGTGACATATGCATTATGTCTATTTGATATTCATATCGTGCGAAGGGAGCGGTATAGGAATTAGTGTCTCTATAATTTTTGATTTGTTTATTTGGTTGTTTCTTTAAGAAAGACTTTACATCTTCTAATGTTATCGTTGGGTCTTCTTCCTTTGCCTTCTTGTGTGTTGCTTGTGTGCTTCCGAAACCCTCGTCTAAGTCATAATAGATGTTGCTGATTATTTGGTCTTTCGTTAATCTCGCCATTATATTATTTGTTAGAAAATATTTTTTATCGATATAACCCCCCACCCCTTAACATTAAAAAAACTACTTAAAGAGAAAAAACCTTATATATTAAGAGAAAAATGAGTGAGGGTAAAATGTCAGAGAATAATTTTATATTTGAGAATTGTGCTAGCTTACCTGCTGATGTTTTAAAAGGTATCATTTCATATAAATTAGGGAGACCTGAGTATTTGAAACTAAAACATAATCATATTAAGACATTAAAGAGAATACAACAACGATATAAAATAGACAGAACAGAAACAAAAAGAAAGACAAAGCGCTATACTGTTGAAGATGGCGATGATATAAAGAGACACGTAATTGAGTATTACATTTCAAGAAATATACCCTTAAGCATTAAAAGCATTGAAGATATAGTGTTTAATGAAAATGAAAACTTAGATTGTTTGTTAGATGGCATTGAAACCGATAACGGTTATGAAGCAGTGATAATAGTTGAGGTAAATATGTTTGTAAGGTTTCATCATTTCAATTATGAAGACGACCATTTTAACACTTTTAGTTTTCATTTTCATAGTGATGATTTTGTAGATAATATAACCATAGATAATATATCCGAAGTAATGATAGAGGCACATCAAACAATATACAGATGTATTGATGATGAAAGAAGTAGAATGAATTTTGGAGGAGTACAAAACATAAGGTTTAAACTAATTGTTGATGAACCTGTGTAATTCATAACTAAACCATAATTATATCATTTATACTCTTATATGTTATAATTATAGTGAACTTTTAATCTATAAACATTTCATTAAATGACAAACCACAACAACCGCCCAAAAGCCAACCCGTGAATCCACAGAAAGTCCTAACCTCTTTCAATCAATAAAACTAAAAGTTGAAATCTGGAACGAGACAGGGGACCAAATCATCAATTCGTTACCACATCCATATCGTTATTTCATGCCCCCAAAATCAGCCTTGAAAAAACGGATAAGGTGGTACACGCGTTGAAATGTGAAATAAAAAACAGAACAGGCAACCATCTACCCCCCACCCCCTAAGACCAGCCTTTTCTACATTTTTTTGGGGGGGGGCTTCCCTTGAAACTAAAACGGGTAGCCTTGAACAAGAAGCACATACTGCTGGACACATCTGCTTGTCTCACCCAGTGGATCCCAGCTACCCCCCCATTTGCCTTTTAGCTGTTAAAGGGTGGGTTCCTTGGTTGCCCTCCCGCCCAAAAGGACGAAACGCAGTTAGGCCAACGCTCCTGAAACACGCGACGGACCCTCCCGTGGCAGCCTCACATGGAATGGGAGAAAAGATTGCTCTGGAACGGACCCCTTATCAGGCACCATCTTGGTGGGAGAGGGGGTACCTACTATACAGGCAAATGGATCCACCAGTGCGCTGCAAGTTTGAAACAAGCGCAGACCCATCTTTGTGGGCAAGCGGGCGACCTGCGCCTCCAAATTCCGGGGGACGTTCAAAGTGCGAAAGCTGCCGAAGGTTCCGTTCTCCAACAGGGCCACCAAGCAAAAGTACAACGGCCGCTCATCCTTCTCAAATACATGCCTGTTTGCAGTTGGGCCAGGGGTTGAGGGAGTCGTGTCAGATCATTTCTGTGCTTGTTGTTCTTTTAACCTAGGAACAGCAGTGATTTCTTTTTGTTACCTAAGACCAAAACTGGGTGGGAATGTACGTTAATCTCCACTTTCAAGAAACCTCCCCATTGAAGTTCCTTGCCACCTGCCTGATTCGAGGCTGCGCCCATGTCGATCCGGACGCATCGAATCGATCCTGAGGCCGGCGCAGGGGGCCCTCCTCCATCCATCTGAAGCAAAGATCCGGGCCTGGAGCCAAACCGAGACCGGGACCTTCGGTATGAAGACCTGGACAGGAGTCCCGGTATTTCTCCCCCTCTAAATGCCGGAAACTCACTCTAAGTTGTCCACCCCAAAAAAGTAGCTTAGAGACCCCTGTCTTGATGAGGACCCTTTTGGTGGGATTGCTGTCCTACCGTTTGGTATTTTACTTTGGCCAGGTTGTGGTCTTGGAGGGCCGAAAAGAAGGACACGGGAAACGAGGGCACTCCTGGGACCAGAGCAAGGTCGCCCCATTTCGCATCTCCCGTCGCGTCTCTGGGGTGCCGGGCTGTCACAGTGGACCTGCCGTCCAAAAGGGAGGGATCCAAAGCTCCCAGAGCCGAAAGAAGAGAACAAAAAAAAGAGAAAGAAAAAAACACGCGAAAGTGGGGAGCATCAGATGCCACTCGCTAGTTCTATGGCGCGCCTTTCTGGGGTGTCGGACCCCTTTGGAGGGCTCCACCGTTCATCTCCCGCCGGCTTAGCCGCCGCATCTGTCCTAAAAGTGCCCGACCTGCGGTCAACCTGCCAACATCCGCTGACGCCGGGTGCCAAAAAGACAGGGAACCCCTGTCGAATGGAATCAAAAGGAGACAAGAACGACTATGACTATGAGGGCCCCCCCCCCAGGCAAAGGATCTTCCTTCCGGAGTCTTTCACCGGGATTGGTGAACTCTTTAGAATTTGCCCACTGGATCACCTGTAGATAGAACAATTCCCTCCATATGGGCAAGGTTGATTAACTCAAACTTCGTCAAGCGTGCCTCTCACCCAACTGTTCTGGTATTCAGTTGTCCAGCAAGTTTGAGGGTCCCCTTTTATAGCGCGAGCCCTTGCTAAACGGGGCCCCAACTTCGCCACCGAAGCGCCTGCGCGCAGCCCAGCTCCTGTTGGCACTTCCGCAACCTCGGAACTCGTCGGCTCGGCCCGAAATGGCACTCCCTTGGGACAAGGGGAAATGGGGCCTAAAGAATTAACGGCTTACTCCTATGACCACATGTGCTTTTCAAGCATCAACTCACAACCGTATGTTTGATCGTAAGCAACTTGTATGTGTGCCAGGTTCAAAACTCCTTACGTGGGCCATGGTCCCCACTCCCTGTACTGGACTCTTGGCATTGGTGGTCTAGAATCCTACTATGGGGCAAAGTATGTCAGAATACGTTGAACGGACAAAACCCGCTTCGCACGGTTTATCGCGCAGCTTTCATAGAGTTTCATCCATCGCAAGTGGTGCAGTATTTTGTCCATCCAGCCCTGAAAATGATGGCTTTCCTTGTGGCTTGCCTTTTTTGCCAAGCTGACAAGGGTACCAACTCCAACAAACACAAACCCCCGAACCCAAAGGGGTTGTTTCATTGAAACCCCGACATTTACCTTGGGCAGGAAACTCCCTGGGTCCCAGTCAAAACAGCATCAGGGGAAACTCCCCGTAGATGGGCCAAGAAAGGTAATGTGTTTTCAACCAGGGACACACAGGGACCCCTCCCAGAGAACGCTCTTATGAGAGCTGCCTGAGGCTAGGGGCAGATTCTCCTATACCCTGATCCGATGATACCCCTTACCTTTATGAGATGCTTTTGTACTCTAGACCCGTATACCCTACTCACCCTTCCATCTTTCCAAAGTCATATCTGTGGCAACCATATAAGTTCCCTAAATCTCAGTCCCGTGGTACCTTTCGCACTTCCCTTGAAGCCGAGCGGCTCGGCAGTTTGGGCCTTCAGGCGCCCCTCAAGCTCCGTCGCCTGGCTTCGCAAGATAGGAATGCCGCCCAAAATGGCTGGTGGTCCTTTGGTTTCCCACGAAACTAACCCCCCAAAACGGGTGCCCTCGAAAAAGACACCGGCAGATCCCAGACTCACCTGCTGAAGGAGACATGTGAACTGGCCCAAACGTATCCTTCCAAGGAACCCCCGACCCCCCACTGGAACGTTGCCCAAAGGGAAATCCAGACAACTCGTGTGATCTTTCACAGCGGGCACCAGTCAGTGTTGCCCCACACAACAGTCGGGCATGCGGAATGTCCAGAGCAATCGTGCTGCATTCATCAAGCCCTGTAACCTAGCCTTGCATCTTCCACGGTGTACTTGGAACGATGTAGAGCTATTGGGGAACACGCCGCACTTGCTGCGAGAAACAATGGAGGTAGCAAACTAGAAAAAGGAACGTTGCGCAACAACTATTGCCAGCATGTGACGCTCTGCGACGTACTGTGCACGCGCTTCATGCAAAGTGAGCATACCAAGTGCAGAAATGACGAAAGCACCTTGCCTGGCAACCACTGTACGACAAAGGAAAAGGTAAATACATCCCCTCGGATTCATGTTCAGGAGAACCCACACACCAAGATGGCCCTCCAGATTCCAAGCAGGTGTAGCAAACGCCGACTACGGCAAAGAGACCAACCATGAGCCAAGCAAAACCAGAAACAGCCGCCAATCACACCAAGCAGCAAGCAGCAAGCACCACTGTTGTTGGGCCAACCCCCGGTGCGAACATGTTACAACACCTCTTGGTTCAAGCTGTTGGGCTCGCCCTTGAAACTGGCCAGGGTCTCAGGATCTGGTCGCTCAATCCAATTTGGCAACCAACGCCCGCTCGGTCCGCTCTGCGCCTCCTCGCACTTGGCCCGCAACTCCCCTTGGCACCGCTGGAGCTCGGCTGCCTCCGCCAAAGATGCCAAAACCCGAAGCAAGGTTGAAAAACACAAAAACGAGAGACATGCGACCGGAGGCGAAGCCTGCGGAGTTGAGGACTTTCGAAGGTTGACCTGAGGTCCTGCACGTCCCAATGCCCCGAGCCTCTTCAGCTTGCCGGCGAGTGCCGTCACCGTATGGGAGTGTTGATTTTGAGAAGGAATCCTACGGGGAACATCATTTTAGTGTTGAATTCATGTCCATCAACCACTTGGGAGGGTGAGGCGATTCCCTACTAAAACTCTATGTCATATTGTGTGGCAAGGTGGCAAGTGTCTGAACTTTCAGAAGATTCCAGAGATGGTCTTCCAAAGAGTAGAATTTAATATTGGGCATCGTCCATGGGCGGTGTGCTCCATTTCAAGGCACCTCGAAATGGCGACTGACCAAAACCCATTGGGTGGTTCTCCCTTCTCCATGGGAAAAACAGGTGGACAGTCAATGGAAATCGGGTCATCGGCTCATATGCCAAACAACGGCTGGTTTGCACCGAATGCGTCAGGATCTGGTAGACCTAACCCAGCAAACAAGAGCCATGGCCCTTCTGAACCGAGATCTTGGCTTGGGGTGGTAGGTTGCAAACTATGAACCATGTGGACCCATTTCGGTGACAGTCCCGCCTTTTCAGTCGGGGGGGGGCTTATTTCATGAGAACTTGACCAGGCGTGCAGCTGTTTTCGTCTCTGAAGATGAAGACACGGGTGCCCCCTCTTTAGGGCCTTGACCTCCGCTGGGGGAACTCAAAGAGCATTTGGAGCAGAAACAGGCGAGGCCCCCACTGCGACCCTTTGTTGGGTGGATCTTGAGGGATTCCATGACCCTCAAGGTACTGGAAAGGGGAAGAACAAGGTGCCTACCACAATCCGCTTCAGCGGGGAAACCAAGAGTTAAGGAAATAGTCATGGTTGGAAGGGACAAAACCACTAGTAGGATTGGTGGGGTCTTGGGTGGGCTTGTCTCCAAGCGAATCGAGTGAACGAAACAAACTGGACTCCACCTTCAGAAAGCCAAGACCCAAACTCACCCTGACTCCAGGCTCGGGGTGGGTTCCGCCCGTCTGCCCCATTTGTGGTTAAAATTCCCCTTTCTGTGATACCTTTCTGTGGGATATGAGTGGTCACTAGGGGAGTTTCTTGGTATCACAAGTGGCAAAGACCAGTTTCCACGGTGAGTCCTTTTCAGGGCGTCCACAGGCATCCCCGCCCCCCTCCTGGCCATGCCTGCTCCGCAATCTTCTGTGCCACCGCCTCTGCAGGCCTAGGGCAAAGCAAGGCCTGCCCCTTCCAAACCAGGTTTGCTCTGCAGATTCACATTTGTCTTGCTGTTGATTCTTCGGACATGCCCTTTTTGGAGTCGTTTTCTCCGGGAAACCAGAAAGAAGCCAACCACTTTGGGGCCCGATGACATGGAATCGTCATTCGCAGTGGGGTGCGATTCCGCCCCTGCCCCCGGTGCTCCCGTTTTAAAAAGGCAAAGCGAGGCAAAGCAAGGAAAAGCAAGGAGGAGCAGGGCAAAGCAAGGGACAGCAAGGGAAAGCAAGGCAAACACCAAGGCAAAAAGCAAGGGAAAGTGAGGGAAAGCAAGGTAAAGCAAGGAAAAGCAAGGAGGAGCAGCGAAAAGCAAAGGAAAGCCAAGGACAGCAAGGGACAGTAAGGGACAGCAAAGGGAAGCAAGGGAAAGCAAGGGAACACAAGGGAACACAAGGGAACACAAGGGAAAACACGGGGGACGGCGAGGGGGACAGCAAGGGTAAGCAAGGAAAGGCAAAGGACGGGAAAGCAAGGCAAACCAAGAAACTCAGTCGCACTACCTCTCCTCAAATTCAGGCGTGCCCGCAAAGCAAGGAAAAGCAAGGGACATCAAGGCACAGCAGGGCAAAGCAAGAAAGCAAGGCAAAGCAAGGCAAAGCCAGGGACAGCGGGGCAAAGTAAGGGACAGCCAGGGAAAGCAAGGCAAAGCAAGGAAAAGCAAGGAAAAGCAAGGAAAAGCAAGGAAAAGCAAGGAAAAGCAAGGAAAAGCAAGGAAAAGCAAGCGACAGCATCGGGTAATGTTTCTCGGTGTTGTAGCTTTCCGTTGACACCGTGCCTGTTTACAGAGTGAGATGGCTACGGAAAGTGACCCACAAGTCAATGGTTGAGTGCTAGGTTCATGACTGGGTCGAGTCCCAATGTGGACACATCATGTACCCTATCAACAAGCATGGTTTAGTGCACAAGGCTCCTTTCCAGAGCCAAACGACATGCCCAAAGGAAGTCCGGTAAGAGTCTGGTCAGCTCCCAGTGAATCCCGGCGGTTGCCTCAGGGCCCCCTCAAACGATTCCCCGAGAAGTGCGCCCCTGCCTTCTCTCAAGCGGACCCGTCGGTGAGGCGGTGGCCTGTGGGCAAGCAAGCGGGCCAAGCCTGCGGTGAAGTGGCCCTCGTTCTAAGAACCAATGGAAGCGGACCGAAGCCTATGTTGAGATGCTGATCGTCCAATACCCTCCTATCAGCCTCCATGATTGGAGGGAGGGAACAAGGCCAATCTTGCCACTTGCGAACTGATCCTGATTCAAGAATTGAACCCGCCGGTTGATTGACTCCCAGGCATTCAAATCCACGTGGCCTTTGTCTGGACGATCCTATGATGGGTGCTTCGTTGATAGTCATAATGTCATGAGATATCTGCAGTCCCTGCGCTCTGAGAGTGGCCCCAGTGGCCATGGAGACAAAGGGCCTTTTGCGTTTGCCCGGTACTCATAGAGACAAAAAGAAAGAAAAGTGAAACTGAAGGGGCGCGATGCATACATGTTTCTTGCCAAAAATGACTTAGGATTCGCTTCCCAAAGTCCAAGTCTTGAGCGGCTCAGACCCCCGGCAAGCAACTCTGCAGCGTGTTTACGTCTAGGTTTTACATGTTGCTTGTTCCTGGTTGCCTGCTACATGCGTAAATCAAGGCGGCAACTCGAATGGGTTAGATTTGCTTCGGAAAAGGCCGAGCCCCGCCCAGCCACTGACACCAAAAAAATCGAACATCAACTGGGTCCTTTAGATTCCAAGGTCAATTCCTAAGATTTAAAGGGGACTCCATTCTAGTGGTTCAAAGCTCTAAGGTAAGACCTAATACTCTCAAGAGAAACCGCCAAGTGTCCGTCGCCCATTTTCCATTTTTCTCTGAAGAGAGAATCGCGAACTTCCAAAGGTACGACTGCAGCCACCTGAAGAAAACGCAAAACCTCCCAAACGGTGTTTCTTTGGAACCCAACATGGTTTCCAACCGGCCCTGCCTCCGGCGCCGGGCCTAGGCCAAGTGAGAACCACGGAAATTCGAGAACAAGGACAAGAAAGGACCCCAACGGCAGGTTTGTTTCAGGGGTCCCTTCCCCTTCGAAAGTTGCAGCTTATTGGTGGGTTCCAAGACAAATGCCACTTTTGGAAAAACAAGCACGCGCAAACACAGATGAACAAATGCAAACAAATGCAAACGCATTCAAACGCAAACAACAAAAACAGTTCAACTCATGTCTAGTCACCTCTCCCTGGCGCACTTCCCCTCTTTTTCCTCCAGCGCACGTGCCGTTTGCAGGCGCATGAAGCACTCAAGGTCCGTGTCCGAGCGAATGGCCTTCAGGTCCCAGTAGGGCAAACACACCTCGGATGCTGCGTTCTATGCGAGGAGATATCCACCCGAATGGAGATTCATAGTGTGCTTTGGAGGCGCGTTTTGGGGTTGGTTTAAAGGGCAACTCAGCGGCATGTTCGCGCTGACCTGGGAAATGCGACATGTCCGGCTGGGAAGCCTGAATCACTGGCGCAGCCCAATTCGAATCGCTCGAATTGTAGGCCCTTCCAAAATATGCAGTAAAGGGGGCGCCTCCAAACCCAACATATCCCCTGTGACTTCCGTTGACGTGAACAATCATATCGGCAAAATGCCAGGGAACAGTGTCACACACACACAACCACGAATTTGGATATTGACATACATACATATATATATATATATACACAAATACATGTCTCCCGTACATAGCTAGAGCGGGCCCTGCTACTTTCAATTCAGGTGAACTCAATAGCTGCAAGTACAGCACCTGGTTGCTACGGACTCACCGCCCAAGCTTCTCTGCATGCAGTTGAACCCAAGGGTTCCGGCCAATGTAATCAATATCAAACGTGTGAAACGTCATGCCTTGTAAAGTCAACAAAACCTAGTGGTCCGCGCTGGCAACAGGTTCGAGCAATATCGAGCAGCATGTTCTACGACAATAAAAGAAAATCTTGTCAAAAGCCACTCACTCAAGCACGAGAACGCACGCACGAAACGCAACTTGCGCACACACGCCCACCGCATGCAGCGCAACGTAACGCACGCACGCCGCGCTACGCCACGCACACACATGCCAAAAAAACAAAATTGAAGTGATTTCGGATTCCTGGTGCTTCCGAATCCGCGCGCTATTCTTTCCATGGTTGAAAGACCTGGCGGCATTTCCCTCTTGACGGCAGGAAGCATGATAGGAAAAGAAAAGGCAACGCCAAGAGGACCAACTATCCCACATTTTTGGACCTGCTGGCGACCCGCCTCTTCCAGCCGGCAAAGCGAATTGTTTCCGAGATCTGTAGATTTGGGCGGCTGGATTCCAGAACTACGCCCCATATGCAACGCACAGAGCCCCCTCGCCGTTAACACTTATCATTGGAATATATAGATATATATATATATGTATATACATACTGATACGTACAAATCCACAAGGTATGCCAAAGTATCCCCACCAGGTCTGCGGCTCCCCACAACTCACAGGCGATGCCTTTGCTGACGCAGTTAGATGAAGATGAAGAAACCTATGGGATAAGCTGCCAAGCGGAACTGGCGGTCCCGCTGCGGATTTTTAGGCCATGGAGGACCAGAAAAAAAAAAAAAAAAAAAAAAAAAAAAAAAAACAAGTGAACTGGTGGTCCCGCTGCGGATTTTTAGCCCATGGAGGAAAAAAAGCAACAAAGTGAACTGGTGGTTTTGCCTGGTGGTGCCCCTGGTGGTAATTACCAACCGAAAAACGGCTCGACGTCCCAAGTCGCCGTCCGGAAGCCATGGGCTTGGAGGTATCGGTGGCGCAGCGTCCGCGTCACCGGCCAGCTCAAGAGGTCCACGTCCACCACCAGCTGAGACCTGCCGAGTCTTTGGGTCTCTTTGAGCGGATGGGGCGCAGTCTTAAAACGGTCTTCCAAAAAAAGAAGTCCAGAAACTCGGGAAGTGGGGGAGGAAGAAGTCCAACAAGGATTCGCAAAAAGGTACCCGGACAAGGGAAAGCCCAAAAAGATGTACAATGCTTGAAATCGCATTCCAATCGGAGGAAATGGCCAAGGACATGTGCCCCAGGAGTAGCGGCACCTCCCCGCCCAAAAACCTTCCCAATACCCCCAAAAACCGCAAGACGGGATACGCTCGGCGGTTTTCTGTGGTCTGGCAGCCTGGCATTAAAATGGTTTTCCCAAAATCACGAATAGACCCACATGGGCGGATGTGCTTTCCTATTCTCGGACACTTGCCGAGCTTCTCGGGTTTGATTGTGGCTCCATCGGATGGGCACATCACACGTTCATCGACAAAGGAGACCTTCAATCGCTCCAAACGAACGGGCAGTGACCAGATCTGGCCACGGAACCCCACGGAAATAGACGAAACGACCCCCGTTTCACCGTTCTGGTATTGTTGCCATGGGTTTTAAAACGACCAAGCCCTCTGAACACTCGAACTCAAGGGTCCTCGAAGTTCAAAACCTCCTTCCAAACTCCGAATCCTTCCATCGGGCTCACGCAGGCCTCGAGTAGCCAACCACCAAAACACCTCAACCCACCTCAAAAAACCCAACATGCCTTGGATATACTCTTAAACCACCGCCCGAACACTCAAATCCGAGCAAAATCACAAAAGACCCTCACACCGCAAAGCTTTCCCCATCTCGCTAAATGTCTTAAACCTTCCGAGCCTCCAAACCTCTCAAACACCACCCAAACACTCAAAAGCCTCCGAAGTAGCCTCAGCCAGTTCCGAAAAGCCTCTCTTCCCTAACCCAGTCTCAAGGATACGCACACGCCCATACGTTCCACCCTCTTTTAGGAATGGCCAAGAATCGAGCAATCCGTTTGTCCTGTTACATGAAGAATTGAATAAATACCGCTTCTGATTCGTATTTAACACCCCAGAAAGATGTCCCAACTTCAGTCTCTGGTGGTTTCCCCAACCTTTTGTGAGGTCACAGGAACCATTGGCCCACATCTTGTTTCACTCAGCTGTGGGTCAAAAAATAGCTACCCAAAATGGAACCCTGGTAAATGAAAACATGGACTAAAACCTGCGGTCCCCTGGTGGTTTTGACCCAGACCCATATTTGTTGGGAGCCCGAACCCAGCAACGCCCCCATCAAATCCACCCCCAAACAGGGTTGTGGGAAATGGAATCCACTCCTGTGATACAACAAAAAGGGCCTAACCCCAAAGACTAACACCCCATATTTCAAGGGGGAGAATTTCCCAAGATTCCCAACTTGCATCACAGAAGTGGTTGGGATAAACCCCGAGTGATTCCACAACCCTGTTGTTGTTTGTTGTTTTCTTTGTTGTTTTTTGTTGTTGTTTGTTGCTTGTTGTTTGTTGTTCCTTGATTCCACAACCCCCCCCCAAAGGCCTGGGCTCGAGGAAGTCCACGACGAAGGGCCCGCACGGCGCCTTTCGCTCGCAGGACAGGCCCAGCTTCCGCCAGGTCCTCGCCACCTGCGGGGAGAAGAACCGCCCCCCAAATGCGGACGCTTGGAGCCGATTTTTGGTGGACCTTTGAAAACCCAGCACCCGGGTGAAATTCACCTACTCATATCTGGCACTAAAAACAGATTTGGATTGGGAAACCGAACAGGCTGCCCGAGAAACCGGTTGAGCGGCCCTGTTTTGGTCTACCAAAGGCTTGGGGACCCAGATTGGGGGTGAAAGAAATGTCCCAGGACATAGGTGGGTGGCTCGTGAAATTTGTTAGGACCCCTTTCGGCTGGTCTTCATGGAGTCGAAAAAGGAAAACAAGACCGTAACGGGACGCTATGCGGGTGTCAACTGTGGTTTTACTGCGCTGTTTAAAGTGATGCCAAAAGGAAACAACCCAGTTTTAGGGGCCCCATATTGATTTACCAAGCCGAGATGCCCCACACTACAAAAGCCCAGGCGGCATTCAAGGATTTTGGTTCCGCCCGCCCACGGCCGTGATTTCGGCGAATGCTTCTGGTTTGCTGTGTTCTGGCATTTCGCCCACCGGAAATTACGAAACCTCCAAGAAAGGAAGCTTCACGTTGCAACCCTCCTGACGTCGCTATAGTTTGCTTAGTTAGGTTCGTGAAAGCAAATCCATGTGAAGGCAGGCGGGTCCTTCGGCCCCGTTGTGATCCCGATTCGGCGATCGGCCTGCTCATGCAGCGGGGACGCTGCGAGCCTGGTGGCCTGGCGCTTTTGGGCGAGGCTGGCTGCCTGTGGGATTTGGGTGAAGGGAAAGCAGGGAAAAAGACGCTGCCGCCTCTTGGCAAGTGGGGGGTGATCAATATGTTTGCCCCAAATATGACCAATGGAAACTTTTTCCGCTTAGTTGGAAATATGTGTGTACATATATATATATATATATGGCAGTTGATCAATATTCCTGTTTCCGGAAAACGCCATCTTCGCGAGAAAAAAAGTTTCTTTCGCGAATCTTTCGCGACTCCATCGCCACGCCCTTTTGTTTGCAGCGTGCGCTCTGGAGCCATTGTGGCTGCTGCAGTTGTGCTTGCAAACACGGTGGCCGCAGTTCACTTGCGTGCAGTACGTAGTGTCAAGTGCAGGCAGTCACCGTCATTCGCCCTTGCCACTTGCGGTTGCCGGCGATGTGCGGAACCTTGCAACAAGCCCCCTGGCCTTTCGCCAGTCTTTCGCGGATCTTTCGCGAAACTTGCTCCAAAATAGCCCAGCCAACGTTATTGATTTGCACCAATCCCAACACAGGCAGGGAATCAATAATGCAAGTGTAGGTGCTGCGTATCTCCCTCTCTACAAGGGAGCGGGGTCTGCAAATATGTAAGTGCGCAGGCAGGCCTCCAAGAATTCAACGCGGAATCTTTCGCGAAAAAATAAGTTTCTTTCGCGAACTCCATCGCCGATCTTTCGCGGAGGGATTTAAGCCAAGACGAATGGTCACCGAATACATAACTCCTTGCAAGGACCTTTTGATCAACCCCCATATACATACATTTGGGAGTTCCTTATTGGTCATCCCATGTAAAGGACCTTTTGATCAACCCCTAAATGGGGGTGCTTGTCATGCGTAGCCAACACATCTCATATCCTCATGGCTGACACTCAACTGTTGGACCGACAACTACAAATGGAGCCTTCACAAGTTCCAAAAGCTTATGAGCTCAAAACAGCTTCTTCAAGTGGCCCACCTCTGGACGGTTGACGGTCTTGACATGGCTTGAGCTGGGATTCCTTAAGATCCGTGCCCTTCACCCAGGTTGGAAGTGCAACTTATGTGTGGTGGCAATGCTGGAACAAGCAATGGCTTCACACAACATTCAACATGTCACTGCGAGCTAGCTGAAATTGCACCAGGGTTCCTACTGAAAGGAATTCGGGTGTGTCTTTCTTGTCTCAAAGGATAGGAAAAGGTTCGAAAAGGTAGGCGGAAAAGGTAGGCGGAAAAGGTAGGCGGAAAAGGTAGGACAAAGTAGGAAAAGTAGGAAAAAATAGGAAAAGGTGGGCGGAAAAGGGAGGAAAAAGTAGGAACAAGTAGGCAAAAATAGGCAAAGGTTGGAAAAGGTAGGAAAAGATAGGAAAAGATAGGAAAAGGTAGGAAAGGTAGGCAACGGTAGGAAAAGGTAGGACAACGGTTGGAAAAGGTTGGACAAGGTTGGAAAAGTTGGAAAAGGTAGGACAAGGTTGGAAAAGGTAGGAAAAGGTAGGCAAAGCTAGAAAAGGAGGGAGGGTATCAAAACCTGTCCGCTAGAATCACATCAAAGCCTTCTTGGGGAACACTAACTTAAACTGGACCGAAGCTACACAAAGAGGTCGAAAAAGGTCGCATCTTTGGCCATGCGCGCAAGGCGTCACAAGAGTGGCACTCTCTTTGTGGTTTTAAAACCCTAAAGTAAACTCATTTTTTTGGGGCACATGCGGTCTTCTTGAGTTTTTTTGGGGGTTTACAAGAGACTCAAAGGGCACCCCACCCCCCTACGCCATTTCCCCCTCCCCCGGTCCTCTGCTGCCGCCGCATGCCGCGCCGCCTGCCTCACAGCGGCGCGGGCGGCGAGGGACTCCGATTTGTAGCTCAGGACCTGCGCTCGGCGCACGCTCGAGGGCGCAGCCGCTGCTTCCAGTGCCCGCTGCTTCTTGGCACATCTAACGGAAAGGAGTCTGGTTCTGTTCAATATTCAGTCTACCCTAAAATATAGAACTGGTTTGGAGGAAATCCCAGACCAGTTCCATGTGATTGTTAAATGAACAGCTTGGCATATGCCGCCGTTGTTGGCGCATGCTCCTCTCCACCCAGGTTCCCCCCACCCCGCCTCATGCAACTGCACCAGGGCACCCGCGTGCACGTCCCGGGTCCGCGCATGCCGTAGCCGCACCAGCACCTCTCGTGGCGATTTGGGGGAAAATGTGTAAGACTCAGATGCGTCGTGCAAACGGAGAACCGAAATGGGAACCAAAGGGAAAACCAAAAGAAGGAGGAGGAAAAGCACGCGGAAAACCTGTTCAGGTTGGCTCAAAAACCAGCGTGGGAATTCAAGGCGTGTAAGAAGAATTCACTGATGTCTGGCTGTGGTGAGTATGGAGCCCAACGTTCTCGTATATGGGATGTGACTTGCACCGTGATGCCCCGACTGGAGATTGGATATGCTTCCATTTTTTGCTCGTGCCTGGGTCTTCGGGAGTTGGCAGTCACCAAGTTCCGTGAGCTGAAGACACGCTGTTTGGCTGTTTGGCTGTAGGTCGAAATGAGACTCCCTCTAGTCTAAATTCTTAGGCTGCACGCGTGTCCAACCCAAATTCGCCAGGAGCGGGCACGGCTGCTTGTCACCTCTCATCCAGCTTGAAATCCGCCTATCCCCTGAAGCCTGGTCAAGGTTCGGCCCAAAATCTAAGGTTTCGATATGTTCTTGGCGTATTATTTAGCCAAGACCGAAGAAGTAAGATGTTGCCAACGTTGACCCAGGTAGCTTGTTCGATCTGAGGAATCCCGGTGAGGAGTCGACACGCGCTTGGTCCAAAGTGGCAGCTTGGTCTTCGGGTTCCAGCCGGGCAAAACACAACTTCAGACGCTGCCATGCAAAAAGTACGAGCTTCCAAGCGAGGAGCTTAGTCTTGTCCTTCCCACCGGTGCCCCAGCAAGAGCCGAAGACATGCCGCGCGCAGCGCCCCTTAAAACTCCTATGGTCAAAGTGGTAGCCTGGCTATATCAACTTGTCTAAGCATGCTTCCAACAGTGATTCAGATCCGTAGGTTGTGATCCTATGGCTCTGAGTCAGAATGCAAGTGCCAAAAGCCCACTCCAAGGAAGGGCAGAAAGCTAAATGGGTTGCAACAAATGGGTTGCAAAAGGCACATCCTTTTGGTGCATCCCCTGAGGCTGGTCAACGGCTTTTTTGTCGGCGCCTCGCTGTACTTGTCGGACAGGTTCAGCACACACAGCGCCCAAGCGGCGTCGAGATCCGACAGCAGATCATAGTCATCGCAGCTCGCATACTGAACCTCGGAAAGCTATCTGGGTAGGGATCCAAAAAATGATCCGCCAACAAAGAATGGACTCTGAATCCCCACATCTCATAGATGCAAATTTGCACTTGTACCGCGAATGTCACAGGACTTCAAAAAGTGCGAAACGCTTTTGCGAGCTCCAGCCTCAGCTCGAACGGTTTACCTCTGATTCAGAATACATGTGTCCTGGCCAACTTCGCTTTTCCAAATCCCGAAGCCGTCTGTGTGAAACGCTGGCTTTTTGGCACCAAAACCGGCGAACGCCGCTGTGCTGTCGCCCCCGCGCGTATCTGAAGCAGGGGTTCCGGTCAAGCACTACAAGTGCAACTATTAAATGTGGGTATGAGTTCCAATGGGGCCCCTAGGTGGACATTCTGTGCATGAAGATCATAGCCAACCATTGAATTTTGCCATACGTGCCATGGTCAAAACTCCACAGAAATTGTGGGCCATGGTCATGATTATGTTGACTCTTTACCATGGTTGCTCAAGATCTGTCTCACGGCCTTGATGACACAAATCCCAACGTTAAGCTCTTTTGACCATGGCACATGGATGCAAGATAAGGAACCCCTCACAATGAGCAGTCTTCTTTCTTTCCCGAAAAGGGTAGCCTCCAAAAAAAAGGCGCCCGCATGTGGTGTGAAGGTAACCTCACCCATTCCGAAACCAGCCCAACAGGTTGTTTCCTCCAATAGTCGAGCATTGATTGCCTCACAAAAAGGACCCCCCCCTTTCGACTCCACCAGGTAATAAAATAACGTGGTCAAAGCTAAGCTCACCCCCAGACCAGGGTTGTGGAGAATCGCTGTCTAGTGGTTCCCATCCATGACGACGTTGTCCCACTTTTCCCAATCTAAAACTGAAACTTCCGCGCCCCAGCTCTCAAACTCAGCTTATCTGAAACTTCCAAACCCAAACTTGCTCTCAAACCCGAGCCTCAACCCCCCCTTTCCTCCACCTCCCCCCCTCCCTTGAGGCTCCGAACCGCCAGCACCCGCTGCAGCTCCGGCCGCAGCTCGCCGAGGTCTTGGAGGGCCCAGGCGAAGAGCAGCCTGGCGAGGCCCAGCTTGGAGTCATTCGCCGTGCCCTTCTCTTTGGCTCCAAAACCCCGGGAAAATGAGCGGTTTCTGGGGTTACTGTGCGTTTCACCCCTTTTTCCTGGGCTCAAAGATGGGTTCACTTCCTAACATGGGCTCGGGGATCCTTGGTCTCACTTCCTCTGGCCGAAGAAAGTCTGATGAACGCCAAGTTGGTCATTCCACACATAGATGGATTCTTCTTCCTTGGAGGGCTTGTCTCATGTGACCTCTAAAAAGGGCTGGTGTCCCTGCAAAAACAGTGTCCCCGAACACGCGGGTGTCCCCTGCAAGCAGAAGGGCCTGTCTGGCGCCTTCACTCCCCGGGGCCGGAAATTGTTGCGCTCTGAATGCAAAAAATATCTCGCCTTTTTTGCGGGTACCCCCCCCTTTTTCGGGGTTTTCAAGCGAAGTTCCGAGTACAACCGATGTTTTGCAGGCGCAGCAAAAGATATAGCCACATGGTTGCTGGAAGTGGCCCACTGCAATTGACAAGCTCTCTTTCTGACGTTTGGAGGAACCCCCCCCCTTTCGGTGTCAAGCCTCGGGAATTGGAACCCACTGATAGCGACCCCCTCCCCCAATGAGGAAGTCGTTTTTGTCCCAACATACGCGTTTCTTCAGCCAAAGAAACACATCTTTGGCCAAGGATGTACAAAAGGGATATTGCCCAGAAAGCACGTTGCCAAGCAAATGACATGGGTCAAAAGGATCTTGCCCCGGTGCCCCAAAGACGTGCCCCAAAAAGCGCCAACACAAAAGCAAGGGTTTCACGTCCAAACCGAACGGCGCTGAAACGGCCCACACCCCGGCCTGGCCACGTCTCTGCCCGGCAGGGAGCCCAGTTTCGGCGTCAGAGCGTCCAGGATCTCCTCGGCATAGGCAACCATGAGTTGGGTCAAAAGTCGGAAGTTGGTACATGCCTCCATTTGCTTAAGTCCCCTGGAAAAAAACAGTAGTGATAAATGTCCATTAAAACCAACAGGGGAAAGCAAAACAAAACTTAACCAAATAAAAGCATGGAACCCTGGCAGCGCGTTGTGCAAAGGACTTGAAGAAGGTCAAAAATGGGGGGCCAGTTTGTCAGCTTGGAAGATCGACCCCTGGAGTAACACTGTCAAGCGGAATTCGCCGACTTGGCCTCTGGAGGCTTCCCCTTCATCAACTTTCTCCCAAAAGCTCAGATTTGCCAGGGTGAGAAAACCAACAACTGCCTGGCTCATTCTAAAAGGAGGCAAATAACTTCCATGAGGGCCATTGTGACATCCTTCGCCTAAAGCGACGGCCAAACTCCTCAAAACCTAGTAGGGCTGTGCTTTTTGACCAAGACGGTTTCCTTGCGGCTGAAGCTTTTCAAACAAGAAACACCCATATGGTTTTGCCTAAGGTGGACTTTCCAAATTGGTGGACTTTCCCAAAAGGGTGCACCCCAAACATGTGATCCTTTCGGCTGCGCTTAAAACGCTTCCGAGCCCGCCTCAAAGTCACGGGGGCTGAGGAACCGCAGCTTCGCGAGCCTAAGCGCAACAGCAGCCTCGAAAACCAGAAAATCGGTTTGTCTCCGAGCTTGGGTTTCCCTCTAAAGCAACCAACAAAAAGTTGCCAAAAGTTCCCTTTGAAGTTTCTCGCGAGCAAGCCCAAAGTGGTGCCCAGCAAAACCAATTCTGGACTTGAGTGAGCTGATCTCATGTTGCAAAGAAAAACGCATCCGCCGCCCGCCGGCTCGATGGGCGTTGCAGCCGCATCTGTTGGAGCGCGGCCATCTTTAGGTCGACCTGAGATTCCTACAAGGAACTGGATGCTACAACAAAAGCGGACCAAATCCCCTACTGTCCCCATCAAACCATACCGACAATACCCAACGGAAATCAAACTCACTCCAAATTGGCCATTCTAGCAGGTGGTATTGAAAGTCACCCTTTTCAGGAGGAAACATATAGAAAACCCAACAAACCCCATGTTGCCCCTGTTCACCCCACTCACCCACGTCTCCTGTGCCAAACAAGTGGCGAGTGGGTCACGGACGCCAGCTGCCGTGCCGTGAACGCCCAGAGGCTTCCTGGCAAGCGGAACACGCCCTGGCGGCCCTTCGAGGGCTTGGGAAGGGGAGGGCGGGGGGGGGGGGGGGGGGGGGAGGGGTCGGTTCTCAAAGTCAGAAACGGGGGGGGGGGTGTCACACGCGCCCGAGGGTATCGCTGAAAAGCTGCTTTTGGGGGGCCATCAAAGTCAAACCCTTTGACCTGTTTAGGGTGTCGAAGGAAACCCAGAAAGGGCCAAGTTGACCTGTTTTCGCCAGCCTGTCGCTGCTCACATTTTTGGACTGGAGATGTCATTTGGGATCCCAAGTGCAGTGTCCCCAAAAGAGCCTCAGCAATGCCCAAGTTCATTCGCCCATTCTGCTGCCTGAACAGCCAACTTTGCGTGATTGTGGACAATCACCTTGCTGTGATCCCAACAGCATTCCCATGACGTCTCTCTCACTTTGAAGGGGATTCCCTTGGTATCATCATAAAAAGTGACCAACAATGAATGTCAAATTTGAAAAAAACAACTTAACTAATTATTTCTAAAACAAAAAAATGCTCCCATGGCCATACCCTTAAGCGCCGAGGGGCGGAAGGTCATCTGGCACACGGTTTTCAGCAGCCCGTCGGGCGCCAAACCCAGGCGCGCCAAGAGTTCCAAGAGCTCCTGGACGTCCTTGTTGCTCAGCTCCTCCTGGAGGTCCTGCGACTTAAATGAGCTGTGGATGGACGAAATCCTGCACCTCAGAGACCCTGGAAGTATGAATTCCCTGTAAATACCAACAAACAATGGTTTCCAAGTGGTGCAGGATTTCGTCCATCCACGGTAGGGCTGTGGTGGTCCAAAATCGGGTCACCCCATGGCGCAAGCCCTGGAAAATGGAACCAAAGAGTAAAACCTGCGGTGTGGCCTAAGTTTGACCCACACCCAAATAGGGCTTGGATGGTTTCACACACAGCGGGTTTCTTCGTCCCCCCCCCTGAAAAAGAAAACTAAAACAGAAAAATATATGTTACAAAAAGAGCAAAGAAAAAAGAAGGGGAAAAACAAAAGCAACACACAAAGAACGCAATGCTGTTGGGAGTGGAAAGCCTGGGGCCGGTGGTGTCCCTTGAAAAGGGGACTTGACCCTTTTGTTGCGTTTCTCGTTTCTTGGTCGCTGGTTTTTAACCTTGGTATTAGCCCTCCTGCTCGGAGAACATACGACACAGCATCCGTCGCTGCGAAAACCCAAGTTCCCAGCAAGAGTCTTCGACTACCCTTACATGAGCCAGAACCTTTGTTTCGTGGCTGGTTCCGTTTGAACGCAAACCCATGAAGAAAAAGAAAAACGGCCCATAGAAGCCACAATAGGATTTGGGCCCCCCCAAAACGGCGTTCGGTGTTCCTTTGCAATTCGAAGCCAACCTGAAAGAAGGGTACCGGGCATCCAAGGGTACCGAGCCGAAGAAACGCCAAGCCAAAGGACGCCCGTCGCCTGGATTCGCTCCAGGGCCATCTGTGTGAGCTGCGGGTCCACCACCCCCCAGCGCCGATAGGCCTCTACCACCCGCAGGCAGCCCCCCACGTTGAAGTCCTGAAACTGGAGCAAACCGCGCGTAAAACCATTGGTTGCGGTGGGAGAAGCAAACACCCCACCCTCAAAATGGGAAAATGAGGGGGGGAACTGCTCCTTGATAAGCCTAGGTTTTGCCAAGTATGTTCCTAAACAAACGGCCCTTAGCTGTGAAAATGGATGCCCCTTTCTGCGATTTGCTGAGTGGTGACTTTCCATCCCCACGACTTGGTCGCTCACAGAGGTTGGCCCTGGCGAGCCCCGATGGCCTCAACCATGGCCCGGGATTAGGATGAGAGAGCTGCGCCCGGGTTACCCGGTTTGGCCCCTGAAAATTCCAGGAGGTGAGCGCATGAAAGCTCTGGCCCGAAATGCGGACAGACATTCCTTGCTGAGAAACATACGTGGGCAAAACGCAGCTCTTTGGAATTCCATGCAAATGTGCAGGAGGAGCTCATTGCGCTCGTTTCCCAGCCACTGATAGGCACCCTCCTGCATCTGGCGCATGGCCTCCCCTCGCACAAACGGCGCGAGCGAATGCTGGCCGACTCGGCTAGTGGCCGACGACACAGCCACGATGGAGAGGTCCTCGCGCAATGGCGACAAATGCATTGCAACTGCCCGACCAACCGACTGACGCACAGTCCGGCAACCAGCCAACCAACCAACCAACCAACCAACCAACCAACCAACCAACCAACCAACCAACCAACCAACCAACCAACCAACCAGGCCCCCAAAAGCCGACGACACCATCTCGAGGGCCAGAGGTTCTGGGTGGAGGCATCGCGTTGGTTGTTTGGCTCGAGGGAAGGGCCAAATCCTTTTGGGACAGGGAAACATTGAGGATTGCCTCTTGAACAGCCAAGAACAAGAGTGTCAAAAACTGTTTCCAAAAAAGGGAAGTTATGTATAATCACACTCATTGGTTGATATACTTGTTCACCTAACACACTTATTTCTATCTGTTTTTTTGGACCCCGGTCTGAGCAGTCCGGCCTTCGGCTTCAGGGCGTTGTGGCGCTGTGCTGCCACCTCGCTTGTGCATCGACCCTTTCAAGGGGTGAAATTGAGCGCCTCCGTGAGCAAAGCTGATTTTGGATGGAGGCCAAAGGTTTGTATAGGCTTTTCTATGATAAGCATTGAACGCTTGGGCGCTAGGGAGGATGCCGAGTTTGTCACATGCGAGAGTTCAAGGCACATTGTCCTTGAGCAGAAAAGGGAAAGAGATCCAAACATGAAGGGATTCGAAAATCATTTCATCGTCATCTCCAAGCAGCTGTTATGTCCAAATAGTCATTTGTTGCAGTGACCTTGCAGGGTGGAACAAAGAGCATCACTCCAATCACAGCCAGAAGCGTGAAAGGGCGCAGTAACTGAATTTTTCCTGTGTTCCAGCCGTACACAAATACATTTCTGCGAGACATATTTGAATGTACTCTCTGCATGTAGGAAACCCCAAAAGTGCTTGTCATTAAACTACGTCTGGGGAACAGATCGTGGAGAAGATCGTATGGGCCCCCGAAAAAACCGACAAGAAAACGAAAGAAAACGCCAGACGACAGAAACCGACAAAACCGAGCAGAAACCGTTAAACAGGTGTCAAAGAGGTACGGTGTGGCACAGTGTTCCATGACATGGCGCAGTCCCGGAAGAAAAGGAAGGACTGTAAACCAACCGTCAACCAGCCCCAAACCCAAACCCTAAACCAACCCTAAACCAATCACCAGCCCTAAAACACCTCCCTAAAACAAAACCACCCCTACACCAGCCCTAAACCAACCCTGGCTTAGGGTGGTGTTTAGCGTGGTTTAGGTTTGGTTTCGGGGTTGGTTTAGGGTGGCTCAGGGCTGGTTTAGGGTTGGCTTAGGGTGGTTTAGGGCTGGTTTAGGGCTGCCCTAAACCACCCTAAACCAACCCTAAACCCACCCTAAACCAGCCCGCCCTAAGCCACCCTAAACCATCCCTAAGCCAGCCCTAAACCAAACCGAAACCGCGCTGAACCAACCCTAAACCAACGCGAAGCCACCCCAAAACCAGCCCTAAACCAACCGTAAACCAACCCAAAACCAACCGTAAAACCAACCCTGAACCAGCCCAAAAAGATCCGTGGGACAGTTGCGCGATGCCGTGGCAAAAGCGAAGCGACCCAAGGCTTGCGAGATGCTTGAAACCCCCGCGGTTGCAAAAACCGTGGAAACGCACGGGAACCCCCAGAAGCTCAAGAGCAACTTCGACGAAGTGCAAGGGAAACCGGCAACAAATGTGGGAACTCGGAAACCGTAGCAATCGACGTGGAAACCCACGGAAACCTTGGGAAACCCGTGGGAAACCTGGGGAAACCCGCGCAAAAAATTAGCGAAACTCCAGAAAAGCTTGCAGGAAACCTGTGGAAACAGCGGGCAAACAACCCACAGGAAACTCACCGCAACACTTGCAGGAAACCTTGGGAAACCCGCGGGAAACTTTGGGAAACTCGCGGGAAACCTTGGGAAACCGGCGGGAAATGTGTGGAACCCACAGGAGACTCCGACGAACAGCCTTCCTTGTCCGTCAGTACTGGGGGTCTCTGATCGATGGATCTTTAAGGGCATGAACCAGGTAGCCACGGGTTCTGTGCACAATATGTGGGTACAATATCTATCTACCTTTCTGCCGCAGCATCTGTAGGCCCGCGAGTCTCAATCTCTGTCACCTTCCCCCTGACCCAATGACACGTGTCCGTCAGCGGGTGTGCTTTCCATGGTCAGGCGTGCGCGCAGTGCCAGGGCGAAGCAGTCGAGCGGGCGTGCTATGCAGGGTTATAGCAAAAAAAGTGCACGCCGTTGAGCGCGGTTTCTGGTCCGCTACGCAAAAACAAACAAACTGGCTTGCGACCAAATGGTTGTTGCAAAAGAACACCGTCGGTCTGTGCACGAGTCACAAAACAGCGTGCCACAAAAGTAAGTCAAGTGTTTAGGATTCGTGATTTCCTTAACCTCCCCCCAAGTATAAATCGTCCTATGGCCATGTCTATGAATAATGCAGCAAGTGTGAGCAACAACAATAACAACAATAATAACAACAAGTGCAATGATAATAATAGTAGTCATTGTCACAAACCACTAACATGATTTGGCAACGCCAGAAGCAAATGTATCAGACAAATAATGTCGAAGTCATTGCAGTGGCAGTCGTAGATCGGATTCCAAAAACCCACGCCACTGGCCTCCGCCAGGCGCTCCATGAGGCCCCGCACTGCCGGCGCCCGCGCCAGGCGCGCCCCGCAGTCCGCGAGCAGCGCCAGGGTGTGGCCGTCGCAGTCCGCGCAGCGGGTGCTCAGCGTGTTCACCCTGCGCATTTGGCTTGGGGTTGGGGTTGGGGTTGATGGGGTGGGCGCGCTTGGGACAGGGTGGATTCGATGCCAGGTATCCTCGCTCGTTGTTCTTTCTTGTTGCTTGTTGTTGCTGTTGTTTCTTCTTGGGGGGGGGGGGGAGTGGTTGCTGGGTTTTTGGGGGAGGGATCTGTCCATGTTGTCCGAAAGGAACTCCCTGGCGATTATTTTTGGGGGAGCAGGAGCGGTCCAGTTTCTTTGAAAAAGGAAAACTGACTATGAACAATAAACTGGGCCACATTTGGGGGGAAGGGCTAAAATGGGGTCAGAACTCTGAGTGGAAACTGTTCCTTTGGCGGACATCATGTTCATGGGGATGTATGTCCACCAACCTTAAAATATCACACCCACCAAGGGACTCTCACCTTTCATGGGCCAAAGAGGTGATGTTGAAAACCATCAAAAGGGAAATATAGGGACCCCTGACCTATGTGCAAGGGTCGTGGACCATGGCCTGTTTCTAAAGTAGGAACCCTTACAATGGTGGTAAAAAATCGATTCCGGACCCGCTGGTAAGCATCCTTCCCTGAAAATTGATGTCCAACCATCTTTGAGGGTGTGTCCCCTTGAACTTCATAGCCACATGGGTTTGTCTATCAACTCAAATGTGCATGTGCGCATGTCAGTGTGTGTGGGGGGGGGTCTAACAGACCTCACATCCTGCCTTGGTTTTCTGCCAAAAACGTCGGGAAACAAACATGGCTGTGGACAATCACCCCTTCTGTGATACCAACTTGGGGCATTCCCACTTCGAAGGGGATGCCCTTATCACAGAAAGTGGCCCCAAAACCATATATGTTCCGCAATGATGGGAACCAAAAGGCGGAGTTTTGAGGAAGCTAAAAGCCAAAGGCGATGTCTGCGAGTTTTGGCACGTAACATGTTGAGAATTCGGAACAACCACCCCTGAAATCAACCGGGCCAGAGGGCGTTTTCATTCACAGCCCTTGTCACCAGGGAAAGCACTCACCGCCCGTTGACTCTTGGCCCTACCCCAATTAAGCCTGGTAGGAAGGGAACCCCTATGGCCTTCCTGGAATCGGTCCAAGCGAAACCTTCCGGTCCAAAGGGCAGCACTTGAAAGCGGCCGTCCCCACTGAGCCGCTCCAGCGTCCAGCCGCTAAGCCGCTGTAGAAGGATCAGCCTAAGGGCACCGGAAATGATGGCTATCATTCAGACCCTTGCATTCATGGCCCAACAATAAAAGCGTGGATCAAACAAGCATTGGCCGGCCTGGAAAAGGGACACAGAAGCACCCAACACAAATGTTCGATATTGCTTTGAGGGTGGCAACTCTGGTTCAACCATCCTGGCACCCACATGTGCCATCCAAACGACCTACTAACATGGCACCTGATTCACCTGAAAGGGGACCCTGCACGAGGGAGTTTATCTCACCTTCCCACAGGCGCCTTCCGTTGATGCCCACCTAGGGTTGCCCTGGTGGAAAGAACTTAAATGAAGAATAAAAACGCTAGGGCTTTTTCGGATACGAGCTGCACCCCCGCTATTAATCAAAAGCGAGCGTCCTGGGTTGCCATGGGGAACTTGACGTATTTTTCGAGGCATGGGTCCTGGTTTGAACTGGCCGCGATCAAGAAGTGGCACTGGGCAGGATGTCTGCCAAGTAGGCTGGGAAAAGATGCCTTAAGCCTTTATGTTGACCCCGAGTTGATCACACAGCGGATTATTGTGGGGTGTTGCCTCTAAAAGTGAAGGAATCCTTCTCTTCGATGCAACAGCCCGTATCAAACAACCCCGAGTTGCCATTCACTCTGACGCCAGCAACAATCAAACCATCCCCAAATCGACTCTGACACCAACGGAATGTCCACACCATTATTGAGAACCCGAATCGCCGCACTCGGCCACAGATCCATCGCCCGATCCAGCAGAGGCGGAGGCGCTGGTGCAGCACCGTCTGCAGCACAGCGAGGTCCGCGTCCTCGTTCTTCACCGCGAAGCGCAGCAACTGCCCACAGCTCTCCATACGGCCTCAGATGCCGAGGAGGAACCAGAAAAGCTGCCGAAGCAACAAAACGGCGAACTTGGGGAAACTGCAAAGGCCCCACATAGGAAGGTTGGTGGAACGTTACGTCAGGCCCCTGATAGGCAATGGCACTATGAGGCTGCAATGGCGACCAACCACCGAAACCTGGTAAATTCTGGTATCCGATTTGCTTCCCTGTGATATGGACGACATCCACAGGCACCAGCGAGGATTGCTGAATTGTCCCATTGAAATCGGGGTGTCCATCCCAGGTACCCCAAAAGGTAATGACTAGAAAGGCCGACAACGGGAAATTTGGAGGAACACTGCAAGCAAGGTGGTTTAGGGGAACCCCAATCCGTTTTAATGGGAACAAGTGTTCGGGTCAGGTCAGCAAACCAAAGGCTTCGCAGGCGCATTCAAACTGGTTGCTCTGGTCCTCAACGTTCCCACCATTTCCTGGTCTGTGGGCTCACCTCCCTGAGCAGTAATTTCGTAGTGCCTGGATGATTGGGAAAAATAACATCTCTAGATCTCCCTCTACCAACGTCCAAGTATCAGCACAGGCCGGAGTGTATCCATCAAACCCGTGCAACTAATTTGCTGGCTGAGTTTGCTCTGCCGGGCTCAGGAAACTTGACCATTCGCCAACGAAACATGACTTAGATAACATGTAAAATCCGCCGACAACAGGCGGCGTGTTGGACATAAGAAACGCTCCTTACCTCTTTACCTGTTACCCCTCCCCTAACTCCCCAGGGGCAGCATTTCAGACTATTGCGGGGGGGGGGGTCCACGTACCACGCGGTGATTCGAAGACGCTTCACTAAATCTGTTCATTGTGCGGGCTTGCGCAACTCAGTTTGTCAAAAACATTGGGGTGTTCGATTCCCCCGAATGCGCTTTCGCATCCTTAGCAGCTCCAGAGGCACATCGCCAGCATCACCTGCATCATCCGCATCAGCGCCTGCCAAGGATGCGGATGATGCAAGTGATGCTGGGGATGTTGCCTATGCTGGTGAAGGAAATGAAGGGGGGAAAGGGGGAAAGGATCTCAACAGCGAAAGGGGGGGAAAGATCTCAGGGAGGAAAGGGAGAAGATCTGGGGAAAAAATGCCTTAAGGGGGAAAGGGGGGAAAAGATCTTTGGGAGGAAAAGGGAAATCTTTCTCGGGGGAACAGGCCCTAAGGGGCAATCGGGGGACAGGATCTCAATCGGGAAAGAGAGAAAAAAACTTTGGGAAGAGAAGGGTGGAGATCTTGGGGGGAAAAGGCCTTAGGGGGGAAACGGGGGCAAGGATCTTAAGCGGGAAAGGGGGGAAGAGATCTTAGGGAGGCAAAGGGAGACGAACTCAGGGAAAAGGACTTAGGGAGGAAAGGGGGGGAAAGATCTTTGGGAGGAAAATGGAGAAGAACTGAGGGTGGGAAAAGGCCTTAGAAGGAAAAGGGGGGAAATAAATGATCTCAACAAGGAACTGGGGGGGGGGGGAAAGATCTTAGGGAGGAAAGGCAGAAGATCTGGGGCAAAAAGGCCTTAGGGGGGAAAGGGGAGAAATGATCTCAACAGGGCAAGGGGTGGAAAAGATCTTCGGGAGGAAAGGGAGAAGATCTGGGAAAAAAAAGGCCAACAGGGAAAGGGGGGAAAAGATCTTAGGAAGGAAAAGCGAGAAGCTCTCAGGGGGGGAGAGGCCTTGGGAGGGAAAGGGGGGAAAGGATCTCAACAGGGAAAGGGTGGGAAAGATCTTAGGGAGGAAAGGGGGGGGGGGGGGAAGATCTTAGGGAGGAAAGGGAGAAGATCTGGGAGAAAAGGACTTAGGGGGGAAAGCCCAACAGGGAAAGGAGGGAAAAGATTTAGGAAGGAAAAGGGAGAAGCTCTCAGGGGGGGGAAAGGCCTTAGGGGGGAAAGGGGGAAAAGGATCTCAGCAGGGAAAGGGGGGGGGGGAAGATCTTAGGGAGGAAAGGGAGAAGATCTGGGGACAAAGGCCTTAGGGGAGAAATGATCTCAACAGGGAAAGGGGTGGAAAAGATCTTAGGGCGGAAAGGGAGAAGATCTGGGAGAAAAAAGGCCAACAGGGAAAGGGGGGAAAGACCTAAGGAAGGAAAAGGGAGAAGCTCTCAGGTGGGAAAGGCCTGAGGGGGGAAAGGGTGGGAAGGATCTCAACAGGGAAAGGGGGGAAACAATCTTAGGAAGGAAAGGGAGAAGATCTGGAAAGGCCTTAAAGGGAAGGGGGCAAAGGATCTTAAGGAGGAATAGGAAGAAGATCTCAGCGGGGGGAAAGGCCGTAGGGGGGAAAGAGGGGAAAGGATCTCAACAGGGAAAGGGGGGGAAAGATCTCAGTGAAAAAGGGAGAAGGTCCCAGGCAGGGAAAAGGCCTTAGGGGGGAAAGGGGGAAAGGATCTCAACAGGGACAGGGGGCAAAGGATCTTAGGGAGGAAAAGGGAGAAGATCTGAAAAGGCCTTAGGGGGAAAAGGGGGAAAGGAGCTCAACAGGGAAAGGTGGGAGAAGATCCTAGGGAGGAAAAGGGAGAAGATCTCGGGGGAAAAGATCTTGGGGAGGACAAGGGAGAAGATCTCAGGGGGGGGAAGGCCTTAGGGGGGAAAGGGGGGAAAGGATCTCAACAGGGAAAGGGGGCAAAGGATCTTAGGGAGGAAAAGGGAGAAGATCTTGGGGGGGAAAACGCCTTAGGGGGGAAAGGGCGGGAAAGGATCTCAACAAGGAAAGGGGGGAAAAGATCTTAGGAAGGAAAAGGGGGAAGATCGCAGGGGGAAAAAAGGCCTTAGGGGGGAAAGGAGGGAAAGGATCTCAACGGGGGAAACCATCGTGGAGAGGAAAAGGGAAAAACTCAGAGGGAGAAAGGGCCTTAGGGGGGAAAGGGGGGATGGATCTCAACAGGGAAAAATGGCAAAAGATCTTAGGGAGGAAAAGGGAGAAGATCTCAGGGGGGGAAAGGCCTTAGGGGGGAAAGGGGGGAAAGGATCTGAGCAGGGAAAGGGGGGGAAAGATCTTAGGGAGGAAAGGGAGAAGATCTGGGGGCAAAGGCCTTAGGGGGGAAAGGGGAGAAATGATCTCAACAGGGAAAGGGGTGGAAAAGATCTTAGGGAGGAAAGGGAGAAGATCTGGGGGAAAAAAGGCCAACAGGGACAGGGGGGAAAGATCTAAGGAAGGAGAAGCTCTCAGGGGGGGAAAGGCCTCAGGGGGAAAGGGTGGGAAGGATCTCAACAGGGAAAGGGGGGAAACAATCTTAGGAAGGAAAGGGGGGGGGAAGATCTTAGGGAGGAAAGGGAGAAGATCTGGGAGAAAAGGACTTAGGGGGGGAAGCCCAACAGGGAAAGGGGGGAAAAGATCTTAGGAAGGAACAGGGAGAAGCTCTCATGGGGGGGGAAAGGCCTTGGGAGGGAAAGGGGGGAAAGGATCTCAACAGGGAAAGGGTGGGAAAGATCTTAAGGAGGAAAGGGGGGGGAAGATCTTAGGGAGGAAAGGGAGACGATCTGGGAGATCTTAGGGAGGCAAAGGGAGAAGATCTCAGGGGGGAAAAGGCCTTAGGGGGGAAAGGGGGGAAAGGATCTCAACAGGGAGAGGGGTGAAAACATCTTAGGGAGGAAAAGGGAAAAAAAAAGAGGGAGAAAAGGCCTTAGGGCGGAAAGGGGGAATGGATCTCAACAAAGAAAGGGGGGCAAAAATCTCAGAGGGGAAGGGGGCAAGGGGACAATTCCAAAGGGACGCAAATAAGAAAGCAGGCCTGTAATGTCGGCGGCCTGAGCCGGAGGCACTAAAATATGGTTCAAAGATGTGTTACTTCACTAGTCAAGCAGAGGAACCCACCGGTTGCGGGACCACCCCAGTGCCCTGCAGAGGGTCCCTCAAACATGTCCCGTGTGACCCAGAACTAAGATCCTTGACCCAGGTGCCAGTCTTCAATGTGCAGCAGCCTTTTGGCGTTATCTTAAAACCAAAAGGAACCTGAGCATTCAGCGGGGGATCCCGTTCTTTGGAGGCCAACTCATTTGGGCACGAGGATTCATGACCATTCCGTCGGCACTCACCGCGAAGCATGTCGATTTAGAACTTCCGGCGAGGCACGCACCCGGGCCATAGCCTCGGATTGAACAAGTGGAAGACATGGGCTCTTTTCCTTTGGAACAATCGAATGACGGAATATGTCTCGGTGAATTATCATATTCCGACCTGAAATAAGGTGGTTGGGGGGCTATGCCTCACATAAACCACCATTTGGGGTGAATTCGCTCGCGTGAGGGCGATATCATTCACCCAGATACGTGTCTCTTCTTTGGATGGATTCTTTGGGTTCGTGTTCCTTGGATTTTGGGGGAGAAACCGAAAGCCATTTGGATCCTCTTTCGGCATTCATTCCATGGCTCTTGGGCATGGAAGCCCTCATGGGTGTCTGCGTGTGTGCTATGGGAAACCCTCCCCTTTGGTAAACCAAACGGGGATGGATTTCGGGAAACCGCTCTGTAGGATTGCTTCGTTTCCAAATGTCACATATGAGGTCTCTGCGTGAGCTTTGGGTTGGGACCATCGACAATAAACATGTTCAAAGTACCTGAAGGGGCCCTTCAGATCTGTCGAGTTTCCATTATCTTCAGGTCACCGTGGAGATCCTATGGAATTTGGTTGTTGAATACATTCCCCTTCAAATGAAGGAAAATGATCTGATTGAGCCCAGAACGGATGCCACTTGCAGTTGGCCTCGCCCATCGCAAGTCTCTATGTGTGTGTTGCCCTTCTCAGTCGGATGACATGTCAGGAATCTTGGTGAACCCTGTGAAAATGGGTATGAAAGCCATAGGGGCCACAAAGGTTAACACACAAGGGCAAAAAATATGAGGGGAAACCACAGGAAACCGTTCGCCGAGGTTCCACTCAAACGGGCTTTGGTTGCCAAACTTGGACTGGTCATAGGGGATAGAACATCAAACGCTCCGCTCCGAGCCACCACCTCCAACTCCGTGGCGACGTGTCGCAGACCCAAGCGCCATGTTTTGCTGCGGAAGATCGCGGGCACCGCGCGCATGGCGACACCACGCGGCACGCGGCGCTGCGGGCCATGGCCAGAAAGAGAACGGAAAAGGAGAGTGGAAGCCAATCCAAAAGCTCAACCTTTCAACCTTTCGGGGGCGCCTCGAAATCTGGTTGGTGAGGTTGCGAATTGCGGCTGGGCGCAGCACCTGTCATTCTCTTGGCAAATGCGAGCCTGACATGCTGAAACTTGCTGATTGGCTGCTACATCCGTGCATCAAAGGCGAGGGAATCATCAGCAAGGCACAGAACCGCGTAAAAGCATCGCACGTCTTTGAGGAAAAGCGCTTTAGCCAGCAAGACCTCAGGCAGGTGCAGCCGACTCTTCACGTATTCTGATTGCTGCTCGAGTCGCTCGTCTAACTATGGCGATCTAAAATCAAGTTTTAGGACGATGACCAAATGCTCGCTGTATGCTCATGCCCGCGTTGGGTGCTTCCAAGTGACCGTGTCATGACCACAACTCCCAGCAAACTGTGATAAGACTGTCACGCAAGGGTAGTGTAAGCCCTTGTTCACCATCCCTACTCGCAACAAGCGGTAGTCTTCCTTGGATTGCATGCGCTCCCATCTTCCTGAAGCCATCCACTCGGTCCAAATCACCGAGGCCGGCGTGCAAAGCCTTGACCGAGCTGATTCGCGCCCGCGCAAAGTGCAGCGCAAAGGGGCACTGGTTCAAAGAAAATGATGACAATAATTGAGACGCAGGTATGAATCTAAGAAGGCATAGCCATCAAAGCAAAGTGAATTACAACTTCCTGGCACAAAACACATCTGATCAGACTCTGGGGTGTCGCTCGTGGCCGATGCCAAACTCAACTTCAACGTTCCACAAGGAAGGTGTGACACCCTCTGCCCCATGTGGTAGATGGTTTGTCAGTATCCCAGTCATAGGGCTTCCATCCCAACTGGTACAGGATTTTGTCGATCCACCGTATAGAGCTACAGGGGACAACAGGGGCAAATCCATAACATCTTGAGTAACCCTACTGGAAACTTAGTGGCTCCGGGACAAGACCATCATGCGTGCTGATTCCATGTTTGCCTTCGGGGCGGTGAACACATTCCGGGGCTCCCATTTTGAGGAGCAGCAGCTTTTCAGAGGGCAAGCTTGAAGCCAAAACCGATTCAAGTGGCCCAGTAAGTCGGATGGCGGTTGAACCTCCCCGCTACCTGCTCGGCACCTTTCTACCACCATTCTTCTCAGTCCCGACACAACCAGGCCCGGCATTTGAATCATAATTAAGACATGGTCTTGATAGAGCCCACCTAGATCCATGCAAAGAACGAAAGCGAATATCCGTACCTTATTTATGGCTGGGGCTGTTCCTTGCTTGCAACTACAAGTACCATTGGGATTTGCCCGTGGCTCAGTCCATTGGGAGACCCACCATGCCCTGGGCTCTCCCAGCCGGCTGCCGTGGCCGCCCGTAGCCTCCGCAGCACCTGCTCCCGCAGTTCGGGGCCTTGGCGACTCGAGGTTTTCCGAGCGGAGGTGCTCCTAAAGGCCTTCACACGTCACTGTGTTCCGGAAATGCGACACGTGGGAAGCTGCACGAACAGCCCGCGAGCAACAGCTGCCCTGCCAAAAGCCGTCTGCCAACGTATTCGGCAAAGCCCTGCAACGCAAACACCGCCTTCCGTCTTTGCCACTGGACCCACCAATTCAGCAGTGGCCAACGTCCATTGACTGTCGCTTCTAACAATATGGTTATTACAAGGTTTGTGGAGGCCTAACCCCCAGAACATCTAGGTGGCTCCGCAACTCAAACGGCCAATGGGGTTTTGGGCGCTGCTCATTGATACATGGTTGTCACTCTGCTTGCTGCCCTTCCCCAGGGGTGCACCCAAACTGTCGAAGTTTACTCAGGCAAAAGGAGGCATTGCGGAGGGTGAGTCATAGGGGCTAACCAGTTACACACAATACTCTGTTGTGATCTTAACGGAATTTGATTTCGAGCATTTGGGAAAACGAACATCGACCAAACCTGCTTGGGCACCTAAGGAAGGCCACACAATTTGGGTCCCAATTCTTGCGTACCTTGGTTCGTTGATCCCTTGCAAGAAGTCAAACAGGTCATAAACCCTGCAAAAGTCTGCAGTGAAAAAGTCGAAAAGTCTGAAAGTCTGAAAAGTCTGAAAAGTCTAAAGTCGCTGCTGGGACCCGCCAAGCGAGTCATTTCTTCGTCTCTAAGCTCCCCTGTCCACATCCCAACCCGCTAATCGATGGCGTCGCCCATCCAAAGGTCTCGGCTGCTGCCGGCGAGCTCGGCCAATTTGGCCGCTGCCTCCAGTGGCAGCAACTCACCGCGTTTTCCCAGTCAAACTGCATGGACAACGTCCATTTCGCATCACATCGAAATCAAAGGAAGCCATTGTTTGTTGGTATTTACCGGGGGAATCATCATTCCAGGCTAGTGCCTGCTAGTGTTTGAGGGACTCCTAGAACAAACAGCTGCCCGCCCAGCTGCCCGCCTGCGGCTCTGTCTGGGCCTCCGCATCGCAGCCTCGCGCTCGGAGTCTGGACCAGACTGTCCCTACAAGGGTGGAGGGTACCGAAAGGACGAGGTGTGTGCTTCTTGTGTGTTTTTCTTTTTTGGAACTTATTCACTGTGGTTTAAAGGGAAACTTCGCAGGGGTTCCAAGCCTTATTTTTGACACATTCCCGAATCGAAATATATACATATACATATATGTATATATATATATATAGCAAATCGCATGTGTGCCCTCGTCCCCACTTTAGACAAAAATGCCTTCGTTGGTCTTGCTGAAACCTGGCTTCAGCCATCTGGCGCTTGCGCTTTGGGCAGCCACTGCAAGGAAGCATCTGCCGCTTACGCAGAGCATTGCGGCGCATGTCCCCTCTTAAACTATCTCGCGGGTTGACCTGCAAGGCGCACGTGCCACAATCAAACAAACAAACATCAAGCAAGCATGCTCCACCAATGCCAGCACTGGACAAACTCATCGCGTCATGCAGCATCGCAACAGTGCGCTGCATAGGCGAACACCAGCGCTTTCCATATGGGCGTTTAAAGTGAGAGAAACTGCTGGGATGGGTTCTTCAACCTACCACTTGGTGGATGGGTGTGATAATGAACGGGCCAGGCTGAGCGGTCAAGTGTCGCAAAGGACTCAACGAAATGAGAATGCCAAAAACGCGTTCACTGTTGGTGCCAGTGTAATATATGCCTGACTATAAGCACCACACAAGACCTGGTAGTAGAACCACCTACTTCAGCTAATCACAGAACCTTGATAAACTATGCTATCAAACTCGTTGTTTGCTTACCATAATTCCAAAAAACCTGAAATAAGACTTGGATCCCCAACTGACCGACCCACATCACAATGAGCTCGGGCTACCCTGCCGTACATAAGTTCGGCTGATTCTTTGGGGATCCATAGGACATGTCTTTTTGCCGAGCTCGATGCCCTCTCGCTGCTCGCCCGAGTCGGCCCTGGCTTCGCTGTGGCTCGGAGGTGCGAGATGCAAAAGCGAAAGAGAAAAATGTGGTAATGTACCCATGACTTGAAAATTAATAAACCATACTGTGAGGTTTTTGATATACCCATGACGTTGGTGCGATGACCGAATTTTCACGGGTCATGGAGACTCCAGACTCACTACGGACGAATCTGTGGCCGCAGCTCATCTTGACTGCCGTGAGCATAGCGCTCACTGTAAAGCAAAACACACCCGGTTCATTTGGACCGTTTAGCCCAGATAGGGGTTCTAGTGATTTGCGAGATTGACGCTGGCGCAGGTGCTGTTTTGGGTGCGCTGGCGCAGATGCTATTCGAGGTGAATGGTGACGGCGGCCGTATTTGCAAGATTGCCGGCGGAGTGTTTTTGGGTGCTGGAACATTTTGCAAGACTTACAGTTTGGGGCGCTGGGCAGGTGCTGTTTTGGCACTTGTGGTGGCGCAGGAGTGCGCGCGCATTTGTCTGGCGACTGTGCGAGGCTTTGGGCGCAGTTTTGCCAGATTGACGAGTTTGGGGCGCTTGAGCAGGTGCTTGTTTGGTGCGCTGGCACAGGTGCGCTATGAGCGCGGCCGATCGAACGCGCGGCTCGCAGGGCAAGGCAGGCAACGGAGCGATAGTCGCCCACCCCTGTTCTCCACCTCCCAAAGAGTTACCAAAAGCTCCTCATTGCGACGGCGCCAGTCTCTCTTACGGCGACGCCCGCCGCTGTGTACGTGAGTTCTAATGGCCAGCCAAGAGCCGTCCAGGGCTTTTCCGCACTTTGAAGCCCAAGTCTTCGCCCCGCCTTGTCTGTCGCTCGGCGCGGGCCTGGCCAGCGACGACGGCCTGCGCTCGCCTCTGCTTGACGGCTCTGATGGTCAGCTTCGAAGCCGCGAGCCCATCCGCGGCCTGCGACAAGGCGACGCAGGCCGAAGGCCGCGCGGGAGACGCGCTCGCACCCGCGAGACCTCTGTCTGCCGGAGCGCTCGGAGGAGCCGCGGAAGCAAAAGCCAGGCGAGGGTGAAGGCGAAGATTCGGACTCTTTGACACGTTTGGCACTTTTTGGGAGTTCCAAACACAGCGAAGTGGGACGACGCTGGCTTACCATGGCCCACTGGTCCTCCAGCTTTGCGGCCAGCGAAACGTACCATTTGGGGTATTTGGAGTCCTCACTTGTCCAGCGATCGCGAAAAAAGTGCGTCTTCTCCAGCGTTGCCGTCTTTGATAAATAAAGGAAATTTATTGCTGCTTTTACCGCCAACATCTTCTTCCCTTTTTTCCCTGCTTATCAACTCTCGCCAGCTTTTACTCCCTCCCCTCCCGTAAAAAAACTATTGTGGGCATCAACGCTAGCTCTTCAGCCAGCCAACAGAAATGGTTAATCAAGGAGCTGCGACGCCGCCCTTGTCCAGGTGAGCCTTTCAAACCCTCACTTCTCGAGGTACATTTTGTGAAGCGTCGGGCCCAGCTCTTACAATGTTCGGTGAAGCTCAAGTCGACGCCAAGTGAGACGCCGCGTGCACCTACGCCGGCGGGCTCCTGCACTTGTTCCGCGTCTCCAACCGCTTCATCCCAGA